GACGGTGTCAAGCAAAACCCATGGTTTTCAGAGATATCAGTCTGCCTTAGAGTATCTGCAACATCAAAAGCTTAGCAGAGAATATGAATCTTAAACTTAAAAGCTAAGCGGGGTGAACGTTACTAGCTATGCCCCAGGGAGGCAGCGCTACGCAACTCATCACAGGAAATGACCGTACAAAGCATTAATCATTGAGAAGAGGGTGTAGCAAAGCCTGTCCACTAAACAGACAGATCTTTAGGGAACTGGGAGGATGACTAGAAATTGGGAATAAACACTGCAACAGAGCATGACATTTTGCTGAAATCTTGGAACTCGGCTGTAAGTGACTTGGATTCCAGCAGCTGCCCCAAAAGTATCTGCAGGAAGCGTCTGAGCAGGGTATTGATTGTGGAGCTCTCCTCTCTTCGGTACAAGATGCTCAACTCAGACTGTGCCATATTGTTCTGAGCAGCACAGTACCTAGTAATGAGAACGTACATGCCTATCATCAGGTCCCATCTCGGGCACCTGCAAACCCTGGTGCTCCTCAATTCTCTAGGGTCCCTAAACAGAAGGAGGGCTTAAAATGGATGAAGTTTTAGCAATTCTGTGGAGGTGGCAAGAATTCCTGATGAAGCTCAATATAGGTACAGGCTTGATCTGCCTACAGTTTCCTAAATGTATTTCATAAGTACTATTGGATTTCCCAGAGCAGACCCATCACTCACTTCACTCTTCATAACTCCTCTGTTAATGGGAGTAGGTGTTCTCTGCAGCTAACAGCTGCAGCAACAGACAGTTGAAGTGTAACTCCACCCAAGGGGGAAATGGGAACTTTTATAATAACAATAATCAGCAGGGATGGGTCGAATTGCAGCATGCCAGGTGAAATTTAAGATGCACCCTCCCCCCCAGTAATTAGATTCTACACATGGAACATGTATACATTTGTTATAATTTTCCACGTCGAGAATCTAATTATTGGAGGATTGTCTTAAATTCATGCCCTCCCCCATTGCTGCAGTTGGAGAAACAGTGGGATAGGGGCAGGGGGAGTCAAACACCCTGCCACTTGCCCCTGCCCCATGTTAAATGGGGGGAGAGGGGGAACCTTGTTTTGGATTTAAGTAAACATGGTACTCTACATAGATATCCTACAGCAGTATCACTATTTATTCAGTGGGTTTTCCACTGTGGGTTTTTTCACTGGGTTTCGGTTTTCTTTTTCATATTATCTCTACATTTATTTTTTAGTCAGCCTAGTTTCACTATTTCTCACTCATTTTCCCCTGAGTTTTGACTGCCTGTCCTACACATTAAGTAATGCAAACATCAATGCACGTGACCTGACGTGCACAGGTAACATTTTTAGTCCAACAGCTCTTCTTCCTTGAACAGGCTAGTTTTTTGAGTTTACAAAGTGCATCTTATCAGTCTTGGGACTGGAACCGAGAAAGCTGCTTGTGATTTATTTAGCAAATGAAATGCTTTTCTGTCAGGGAAAAAGCCTGATAAGCTGGCAGATTTCGATCTTTGCAAACATGTTTGTTGTTCAGAACTGCTTGATAAATTGGTTGATGTGAACATTACAAGCTGTTCACAGTTTGCTATGTGCTTAGTCACCTAAGTTATATGGTATTGGCCATGCTTTGGGACTGAATACCTTCCAAACCCACAAGAAATTTTAAGATGTCCATTCAAACACAGCCTGCATCTATGATTATGCTAAATACACATATTTCATAAGCATTTGTTTGAAATACATATTTGCATAAGTACCAACAGCTTTGGTAGCTTTGCAAGCTTACTTTCAAACAAAAATGGCTTTGTACCAGTGTCTGTAAAAACCAAGCAAAAATCCCAGGATCCACTAGATCGAGTTCAGTGTTTCTTGCCTTTTTAAGCTGATTTTGCCAGGTCTAACTGGGCCCATAGGAAAAAAGGTCAAATGAAACCCGTAATTAAGCTAATTTGGTATTGATAATTATATAATGAATGGATGCACAACTGCAGGAAGTAGGGGTCAGGTGGGGAACAGACACAGGGAACTAAACTGTTAAAGATGGAAGGTTAGTAACGTGAAGAAAGATGGAAGTGCCAGGAAGGCTCTAATCACCTGTGTCTTTTAGCTTTGCATAACCTTCCAAACTATATCCCTGAATGTGTCAAGCATTATCCTTCTCTCTGCTGTCAAAGAACACAGAGTTGATAAGAGCTTTTCATTTTTCAAATAAAACAGTTTTGTCAATCTGTCCTGTAACTGAAATGGGGCCATGGAAGAATCGTGCATGCTGCACCTTGACATTTCTTCCCCAGGGACAACCTTGGCATGTGCAATTCCTTTACAGACCTCCATTTTGCTGTTTCTATGTTGGGAAATGTTCTCTCCCTCTAAAAAAAATGGAAAAGCAAAACTTCTGGTCCATATATAATTGAATACATGCTCCCCTTTGCTTTCTCGCAGCTATCCTCCTTAGAATCGGACTTACAATACACGAAGACTGATTCTGTAACTTGTACAAATGGAAAACTGGAGACATGCTTTACTTTGCCTGGCCAGGATAAAAGCCCTGCAGCATTGTCAGAGGCAAGGGCTCCCCCCACACTGCTGAGCACGTGAGATAGGAAAGGGTGAGGCTGGTAAGCTCTGTCCCCTCCCACATTCATTAAGGATGACTTTCCAGTTCATTTATAGCACATGAGATTACTAAGTCCAGGCTGTGGTCTATCCCATCCTGCTGGAAAACATTCACCATCATCTGACTTGATTTAAATGAAGATAAATTCAGTTTGTCAAATACATTTCTCTGCAAGTGTGCATGGAAACCATACTCGATTCGATTTTCTTAAGGAAAAACATGTCTATGCCTCAGGTAAGCATCAGATGACTACATGTCCTATTATGCTTGGACAAGATGTGCAGAAGCCACACCCAGAGCTTGTCCCAAGGTTTGTGGTGATTGTTCACAGGAATCAAGTGACCCCATTATTATGGAGCACCACTTTTTTCCAGCTGTCTTTTCAAATATTTGTTGCCCTACTTTTATTCTCAGACTGTATGGACGTTCGAGGAGGAGAAATCAATTACCATTAAGACAGGCCTAAGCTGTACTTTTACAGAGAGCGACAGGCTTAAGGTAAATTCTGAAGTAAATTTAAAAGCCTGGTTCCAAATCTCAGTTTTGACTTTCCTTATCATCAGTAAGCAATGCAAACATGATACTACATGTAGATGGATGAGAACAGTGAAAAGGGGCTGGGTTTGGTTTTTTTTCCCCCACTTTTCTGCTATCCTTAGCAAGTGTAAAAACATTTTCTTCAGTTTCTCTCTCAAAACTAGCCCTAGCAGTATTAATACAGCAAGGCCCTAGCAGTATTAATGCTTAATATTTTGCTACTTTAGGAAACAAAACTGTGCTACTCTGTACAGCAGAATTGGGCTGAAGAATCAGGGTTTGTTTTTTTTTCCCTGGTAGCAGGCTCGCACTGGTTCTCCTACAGTCTACAATGCAGAGGATGCCAGTGGATAGCAAAGTGTTTTCCAGGGCGTCCCTGTCTGCAGGAGAAAATGTCTTTGAGAAACACCGACTACCTTCAAATACTAAAGCCTTTGTGTAGCCCTACAAGAAAGTGTGGTTTTGTCAGCTCTGCCCTTTGTGGCTGATCTATCTACAGACTGCTAAAATAGAAATCTTCTCTTGAATGCAGGAGGGATTACAGAGTCTCTGAAAAATAACACCTTAGAGAAAATAACCACAAACATGTCCCTCTTATTGCTGTATCAATACAGGAGGTCGTTTCCTTCTGATTTCCATACTGATATCAATGGGAGTTGTTTCTCTGTGGCGTTGTAGGACCAGCTCCTGGAGTTTGAGCCAGGCCTTGTGCTGTCAGCTTACCTTTCCAAAGACTATGTCATCCATCCCATCACCAGGCAAGGAGAAGTATTCAGACTCGCTCCCGGATTCTCTTTTAAGGATACCCTGTGATGAGGCGCAAACTCCGCTCAGCCCATCCTCCAGGAAATGTTCACATTCTGAAGAAACAGAGTGCACAAAAAGAGTTACAATCCAGCCTTTTCTTCTGCAGACATATGCTGAGTTTCAGGCACTGCAACATGAGGTGCCTGAAACAAATTCAATGAAATCAACTGCAGATGGCATCACTAGACCTGGAGCTAGTTGTAGACCTATAACTGCACCAGTAATGGCAGGTAATTGCTCCTGATTTATCTGCAGGGTCTAATTAGCATGCAATGCACTTTAGAAACCTCATTTGTTTAGCATCATGTGTGCACCCCTGTAAAACATTAATGTGGGATTTTAAACAATTTGCCCAACAGTTCAGAAATTGTTTTGAGGGCTTGGCGAGTGGCACCAGTGTATGGTCTGGGTAAAACAGAAATGCCATGTTTGACAGGTTTTAAAATCGAGGTGTGAGCTGACCAAATTTGACTGCCAATTTTTTTTTTAAATGAAAAAACAACATTTGCAGTTTTCAGCTAAAAAATATTTAGCTTTTCTAGGAAAAAAATAAAATGCTTAAGAACATGGCTTTTTTCCATGATAATTTTCATTTGATCAGACCCCATTTTTCCCCTGTCAAGACTGGCCCATAAATGTGAGAGAGAAACACATTTTTTGGAACCTAAAAAAGGGAAAAATACTGTATAGCATTTGCTCGTCTTCAGCTGTGTGAAGCTTACAAACTGTACAACTTGGACATATCTAGAGTGGAAGGAGCCAGCTCTAAGAGAGGGTTTTCCCCCCCCTCTTTCTCTATCCTAGACTTTTCAATGGTCCAAATGATCTCTGATGGGAGCTCTAAGATATCATCTGTAGGCAGCTAGTTTGCAAAGCTCAGATGAAGGGTTAAGGATTGAGCCTGTTGTCAGGAGACAACTTCCAAGCAGGTTCTACCCCTAAGGTTTCCCAGAAGCCCAAGTTACCATAGTCCTTCCTTGCTGAAACTTTAACCCTGGCCCAGGAGAGACAAATGTAGGAAGAGCAGACTCAGCTGAGCTAAGGGAGTTCAGGGTGCACATCTTGACAAGAGAAGAGACTGCTAGGAAGACTGGCTGCAACGCACGGTCCACTGAGTCACCGAGGGCTACACTGTGGACGTGTCATGCCCTTGCCTTTCGTTATGGTAGCAAGTAAGAGCTAACTGGCCAACCATTGACACTTGGAAACAGCACTAAGCCATTATGTCTAGGAACAGCCTGGTTCCACCCACTTTCCATCCGCATCCGTTGGCTAGCGCAAAAAGCAGACGGCTTGGGAGTTGCTGGATAGAACAAGAATAGTGGAAAGTGCAAAGAGAATGAAAATAATGCTCTCAAATGCACTGGACGCTTCCCTAGAAAACTGCCTTCCAGTGGTGGAGAGTTAGGTTGCTCCCTGTGGTACTGTAATTATGCTCACGAAAGAGGCATATTGGAAACACCGATATTCCACTGAGTTTCCACACCACAGAGAATAGGAAAAGCACTTACTGTACGAGGTGTGGTTATTCCCTGCTCTTTCTCCCCTTTCAAGAAACCTGGAAAATCTGAACCTCTTTTCCGTAAGTGAGAGGGGCAGAGAAGGGAAAAGAAAAGAAAGAAAATGAAAAAAAAAAAAAAAGAAACCCCAAAAACAAAATAGCTTGTGAGCCAGCATCATGACAATCCAGCTGGCAAATTAACAGAGCATGTCCACATTCCAGCCTGAAAAACAAACTGGCTCAGCGATGGTCTGATGGAAACTTCACAGGGAAGCTCCAGATTCACCAATGGACAGATACCTCGCCCAGATAATAAATCACCGCAGGCACTGAAAGGAAATCGCAGGACCAGCAGAGGGGCATGACAGGGTGGAAGAGGAAGAAGGAGTTTCTTTCTTTCAAGACACAATGGAGGGGGGGTGGAAAAAGCCCTCACACATACCTCATCCCATCTGTGCTGAGAACTGTCCAAATCCGAGATCTGTTTGAAATAACTCCCCCCCTTTTCGTGGAGGCTTTGCTTGTTTTCATTTGCTCTTTTTTTTTTTTTAAACCAGTGTGTACGTTGCACAACATGGGACTCCACTCTCTTGCACTTGTGACCCAATAAGCCCCGATGACGACAGTCCCGCAACAACAGAGGTAGACGGATGACTCTTCCTTACACAGATATCATGCAGTTACTATGCACGCATGATTTACTGCTCAACTTGCTCTCTCTCCCCTTCTCCAAGATGCACATGAAAATAAAGTAAGGGGCACATTTTTATGAGCATATGGAGAGACAAACACAATTCCAGACTAAAAAACCCTGGGAAAGAAAATTCCAAGCAGTTCACTACATTCAATTACTACAAGATCATCTCGAAGAGAAGGAGACGGGTTAGACTTGGCTGCCCTGTGATCCGTAGGGAAAACCACAGTTTGCAAAGTATTCAACAGCCTTTATGAAGAATCTGATAAAGTTAACAGAAAGAACGTCTGACATTTTCTATAGCCTGCTATAGAATTTGGGGGTTCTAGTCCTACAAGAGATGGTTTAGTGCACAGAAATCAGCCAATCCACTATTAAACTCTATTAAAATAGAGCCAGCAAGGGGTAGGGGGCAGGGGAGGGGCCACTTTTGCCCTGTGCTGAGCTGCAATTTGTCCTGTGCTGCTGCTGCTCAGCCCAGATGAGCGAACCTAGAGCCAGCATGGGGTCGGGGCTGTGCATGCTGGTCCCTGCCTGTCCCGCGAGGCTGGGGCCAGTGGCAGCAGCCTGGGCTGCCTAGAAAGGCAGTCCCGCCACAGAGCCGCCCCATCCCTGCTGCATGCCCAGGCAGTGGCAGGATGCGCCAGGGCCAGGCAGCACCTCGGCCAGGCGGGACCTGCAGCAGGCTGGACAAAGCCCCTCCGTGGGCTGGATTCAGCCTGTGTGTTGTATTTTGCCCACCCCTGGTCTGGAGGGACTCAGAAATAATACAATTGTTTAGACAGAGCCTATTAGCTCCCTGACTGTCATGAGCTTGAAATCCTGAATGGGACTGAAGTACGGGGGTGATTCATTTGGACAAGGGCTGCTTAGGGAAGCCCAAGCTGTAACTGGTGCTGGATGAACACCTTGAAGGCCTGGGAGATTTGATCTGTACCAGCTGTTGGCAGGGTGAGGTGAGGTGAGGGAGAAGCAGCTGCAACCTCTCTCCAGAAGAAGGGGTGGCATGGGACCCCAGCAAGAGGGGCTGAGAAAAGGAGGAGGAACAGATGTGGAGGGACAAGGATTGACCTCTTCAGCATGCCCAAGGAAAAGGCCAGGACTCAAAGAGGGATATCCATGTGAAGTGGGAGCTGGAAGGACATAGATGGATGCCCCCAGAAAAGAAGCTCTTGAACAGATGGGGAGGCCAGGTGAAGATCCTGAAGTTGCTAGCAGAGGGACAGACCTGGAGCCTATCTGGTTAAGACACCTGGGAATGGAGGGAGATCTTATGGAGCAACAAGAAACTGGAGTCTTTTATACATGCATGAATGCAGCTGGAAGACGTTTTTGTAGACAAGATGGATGCTACTGCCTCAGATGGAGGACGACATTGAAGAAAGCTGGCTAGAAGGCCAGCCCTGACCACTGGGAGTTTGTTGAGAGAATCAGCACAAGGCTTGCTGAGAGGTGCTTCAGGAGGGAGCAAGCCAGAAACCAGCATATCGTACACTGTCCTCAGACATTTCCCCAGACCAAGCCAAATTTTGTTTAGAGACCTATTCTAGCTACAGAAGAACCAGAACAGAAATGCAAGACAGATCTCCACACCACTACCTCCTAAACCGTACTTGTGCAAAGGCTGTACCTGAACTTCACATCTGGGGCCCATTGCTGATTCAATCCACGCTTTTCTGAGTTTCCCCCATGAAGAGGTGAGACTCAGGTGGGCACCCTCAATGAAGAGTTATTGTGAAAAACTTGAACAAATCTGATGAATTTCACTAAAACCTCTGGTGCGTTTTTAAAGGAGCAAGCACTAGGAGATGATGTCATGTGAACATGTTATCAGGACAGTTACTGTTGCCACCCCACAGGAATTCAGACATAATATTTGTTTGTAGGGGACACTTAGTCACTCCTCGGTCAGCATGGTTAAAGGCAGCCAGTCAGCTTACTAGTCGGCCCCAACACATTTAACTTATTAGGCAATATGGTCTGATGCAAGGGGGAGAGTATCCCGATGTACATGCTTGTCTGCATTATTCAGCAGGAAGCTAAGAGTTCGTGAACGCTCAAAAGCCAACAATGCTGTTAGCCAATAATGTACGTTCAGGAGAGCTAACCTTTAGCTCCCAATTCATCAACAGGTAACTCCATCTTTCACCGCTGCTGAAGCGATTGCTTTCACGGAAACAAAGCAAAAAGAGGCTACTGTGTGGAAAGCCCAATTCAAAGCTACCATTAAGAGTCCAAGCAAATTACCCCAACTCACACTAGCTCAGACACTAGATATTGGAGAGAGGAAACTTTTTTCTTATCTCGCTCATCAAGCCCTCTTTGAAACTGGCCAGGCTAGTTTTTATGTCTGTGTCAAAGGAAAGGCAAATACTAAACAGCATAAACGGCCTTAAGTTCATTATCACTGAGGGGAGGGGTGTGGAAAAGATGGCTCTGCGCAAACTTTCTGCTTTTTGAATCCTGTGGATCAGTGGAGGCTCCCAGGTTCGCAGGACTTCTGAATGTCAAAACGTGATTTCTAAAGTTTGCCTTTTGTAAGCAGGGATGTTAGCCATGCACTCATGGTCCCCCTGTATTTCACTATTCAAAGTACTGGCTAAAATACAGTTATGCCAAATCACTTAATGAGACAATGGTTAATAACACTGCTCGGTACCAAACATACAAGCACTGGAACTACAAGCTAATACCATATTTACCTGAATGCAAGATGACCCTGAATACAAGCTGATCCCCCAATAATGAGATTCTCTACGCATAACATTTCAGAAATTTGTTATAATTTTCTGGGTATGGCATCATATTGGAGGTTTGCCTTGAATTTGTTCCCCTCCCACTGCTACAGCAGGGAAAATAAATCTGGGGGCTTCAGGTCCCTTGCCTCTCCCTAAATTCTTCCCCCTGCAGCCCCTTCCCACAGCTCCTTACTGTCAGACCCTGCTATCCGTAAGCACGTGGAAGTGAGGGACACATCTGAAAAAAAATGACCTTGAAATACACATACCTGCAGTAATTTGCACGTAGTACCCACAGACTTAGCTCACCCAGCATTTTACATTTTTTTAAACCGATACAAGTTTTAGCATAGGCACTCTATAAACACACTTTAAGTGGCCTTTCTGTACCTGCTTTATATAGAGTATAAACTATACATGATATTAATCCAGAGCCAAGAGGCTCACAATTTACCACGCAGTTCATTGGACTAGTCCCCAGCGAAGTCAAGCCATGGTGACACCACAGTTCAGCACTGCTCAGTATGTGTGTATACTCCAGATATCCCCTCAGCAAAGGTCTCATGTGCTAATTAACCCTCCACTTGTTACTGGAACCACGTGTTGAGTCCTGGGATCCTCCAAAAATGTATACGCAGGTGAGGTGCAAGACAACCTGGTCAGGCTCCATCTCATAGAGGGCAGGGCCACACTAATCATGTGCGACAGGTTGGGGGCTGGGGGGTAGGAGGGGACACAGCGATTCTGGGTGAACCGTTTGGGACCCCAGTGGGTTGTGTTTGCCAGGCATACAGCTGGTGAAGAAACAGGAATTGGAAATGGGAAAGAACGGTGCAGCTCAGCTGTCAGAGTGTAGAGGAAGTTGAAATATATGCAATGTAGTAGTTCACTAGGACTGGAAAGAGTCAGACTTCGGGGAGAGGGAGGGGAAGGTTGCATTAAATGGGCACTGCCAGACGTCTTAGTCAGACGGGCTGTGGTAATCTGTCTTTGTGGTAGGCTCCCATTAGCATTACTGGCACCAGGGAAGGGCATCAAAACTTGCTTCGGCCTCTCCGAGTGCTAGCCTGGTACTGCAGTACCTCCAGGCCAGGTGCACGTTCCTTCCTGGGGGAAGCAACTGCTCATTTTTGTTTTTTCAAAGGCCACAAGAAAAAGTTCTCATCAGCATGTCTACCCAACATGGGTCCTGTGTTTTATAGTCAGGCTCAATGTTGGCTGCATTTAATGAACTTCATAGTTGATTTCCATTACTGAGCACATGCCGCTTTTGGCAGCAGTTTAATGCTAGACAATTTATTGTATGAGGTTTCCTCATATACAAATGTAAGACGTGGCTTTCCTCCCCATGCTGATTGGGGTGGTGGGGGGGAAGAGATCTCATCTTGTATTTAAATAAATATGGTAATTACACACGTCTTTTACTTCCATTTGCACACACATCTTAAGGGGATGATAAACAGGAAAGAGAAAAGGGCAGGGGAGAAAGGAAAACCCATGGAAGAAAGTCTGGGGTTTTCTTGGAAAGACAGATGCATCCGTTCCCCGGTGAATAGGCTGTCTGCAAACAATATGGTGCTTACCTGTAGATTTACGAGTCCGCTTAGACTCCAGCAGCGAAGGATCGGAACAAGGCTCTATTGGACACCAGTTTTCACGGTTTATCTGAAAGGCAAACAGAACACAAAATCAACAACACGTTGCTTAGCTCCAATGTCTCGCCTAAGCTTTACTAAAACATAATTAGATATAAACAGTCTCCCATAATGTTATACGGCTTCCTTTTTGCCTACTGGGCCAGAAAAATCTCCGTACTGAGTCACAGTGGAGCAGGGGGTTTTTTGAAGTGGTTTCAGAAATGATCAAATGCTCTAGAACGTCTTCCCAAAAAGTAGTAATTTAAAAAGGAGTCCCTTGCTTGAGTGGAGAGCTCAGGACGTGGGGGGATCCAGAGCTGAAGGCACATGCTTGAGATGCAGGACAGCCATGCTCAATTCCAGCTCTACTGCCTTCGTGTGACCGCCTGTCTCTTGGCGCTTCTGTTAACCATCAACACAAAAGACATGACAGCAACTCCCGACCCTGCAGTGTTGTTAGGTAAATATATTAAGGCCAGTAAAATGCTCAGATGTTAAGGTGACAGGAACATGCATGTACCCAAACACAGCGGGAACAAGGAGCACATTATCTTTTTGACTTCAGATGTAGGAAACAGCTGAAGTGATGGTTATTATGGAAAAAATGGATAAAAGACATTTCTTATTAAGAATCATCACCTATCTCTTTCAACATCACCCACACCCTACCACTCAGCCTTTGCATGACTACTAGCTCATCAGTGGTGATGGCTTCTGATCTGTTTTCAACTCTCCCCTCCTTTCTTCCACTGATACAGCTGCTGATTCCCTCCATTCATCACTCTCCCCTTCTGCCTGGACTCGTTTGTTCCACTTTTTGACCCTAAGGTCTACCCAGCCAACCCTAGTCCCTGGTTTATACCAATATTCAAGTTCTCTGGCTCTTGCTCACATGCTCTGGAGCCTCTCTGGAAATCCTGGGCATGTCTACACATTCAATTAATGTGTTTTAGGTAATGCACATTAAATTTAGTACTTCCATTGTGAAGTACTAGAAAAATGTGTATTAGTCTATTTTAATGCACATTAGCTAAAGAGCATGGATGTTTTGTGACACTTTAATGCACTTTTAATTAAAATAGGCTAATGTGCATTAAAGTGCATGTGTAGATGCACCCCCTGTGACCAGGCTGACTTACTTCTCTGCTCTATCACCCTCCTTCACTTCTCTGATTTTCTTACCTAAACAACTCTACCTCTTCAGCCTAACTCAGCTTATTCCCCTTATCTCAGACTCCTTATCAACACCACCGACTGATTTGTCTAAACCCTCCCTGCAGCTTGCTTTCTCTCCCCTTTCCTCCTTCTAAATCAGATGTAAGAGGTCCATTATCTGCTCCTCTCCCCCAACCTCTCCCTCTTGCCTCAGTGACCCCATTCCAGCCCACTGCCTGATCTCCCTTGCACCCACTTGCATCCCTTTTTTACTCCTCTTAAACTTCCCCTCTGGCCATTTCCTCTCGCAATTCAAATATGCTTCGGTTTTCCCCATCTTAAAATAACTAAATAACTAAAACCCCATGTCCCTTCTTCCTTTTATTAAGTTCCCAAAACATGCTGCTTACAATCACTCCCTGAAGTTTCTTGCCCCCAGTCTGGCTTCTGTCCCCTCCCCTCTACTGAAGGTGCTCTGGCCAAAATCTTGACTGACCCATTCTTAGCCATATCTCAGAAATAACACTTAAGCCTGTTGGACCTGCCAGCCACTGACCCCTCTGCGATCTTCTTGAAATCTTGTTCTCCCTGGGCTCTCATAATGCGTTTCTCCTCCAGCCTTTCCAACTGTTCCTTCTGTGCATCCTTTGGAGAATCCTTCTCATCCATCATAAACGATAATCATTCAGGGGCAAGGGTCACATTTTCGTTTGTACACTGCTTAATACTAAGGGGTCCCGCCCCTATGACCAGGGCTTGTAGAAGCTGATGATAATACACACCACTACTAAAGACGAGAAGCGTGGGATATATATAGAAAGGGAGGTAGTAACAGTGGCCTATTATTAGCAACCAAACACTACCTAGGAAGTGATGCACAGCACATTAACTCAATTGTGCTGTAAAGTCTGTCAAAATTGCTCACAGCTCATTAACTAAATAACAGTTGGACACTGAAGAGTTTTACTTTTCCATTCTTTTACTTTCCCATTTACTTCTGAAAGAACAAATGTAGGAGTGAGGTTGAGAGAAGGTGTCTAAGACAAAAGTGACATCTATCCATTCCTGGTCTGTGTGCATTTATTTCACACTTAGCAGCACAAAGACGACAGCTAAATGCAGCAACAATATTAATCCATTCTGCTAAGCCAAGGCAAAGCCTCTTTGCAATGGATGCCTTGGATTTCATTGGCAAACCTAGAGGAATGAACAAGCAAACGCATGGCAACATGACTGCCAGACTGTCCAAGTGCATGAGGCTGAAGCAAGTTCCCTACAGCCACTTACTCTGTGCTTGAAAACAAAGTCCCCTCTGCTGGTCCCTAATGTTGTATTACCCCTTCTCCCCCCTGTGAAAATAACAAAGGATTATTGGAAAGTAGGGTTGGAAGGGACTTCCTGAGGTCATCTAGTCCAGACGCCTGGTCATGGCAGGAACACCCCAGACTAAAACATCCCAGCCAAGCATCTGCTCTTGAAAATTTCCTGGGATCGAGACTCCACGACGTCTCTAGGTAGCCTGTTCCAACATCCTCACAGTTACAAAGCTCCTCCTAATCTCCAAACTTAAACTTCCTCTGCTGCAGTTTAAGGCCATTGTTTTTAGGCCACAGAAAAAAGTCTCTCTCCCTTCATTGGAGCAGCGGTTTTACTTTCACTGACACCAATTTCAGAAAAACGTAGCTCCGTAGTAAGTAAAAAAATTACTCCTCATTTACATTAATCTTACTTGTGGGGAAATAATTCTTTGAAGTCTGATCCTAGAAAAAACGTGATTAGGAGGTAGGGAACACAAGACATAAAAAGGTGGTGCGGTGATACCTCACCCCAGAGCTGTAATCGAGATAAATGGCATTGAGCTAGATTATCATCACTTCATTTTGCTCTGAAACAGAGGGGGCTGAATAACTTATTGTGAATGCTTTATAGATATTGCTGGTTTTTCAACAAATATTTGAATATTTTCCCATCAGCCAATCAGTCCTGCCCTCCCTAGTCTGTGGCTTTTACAAGCATTTGAAGTCCTCTATTCTAAGATTAAGTAATGAAAGAGCAACACTGAAAGGTGAGATTAATGCGGCTTCTTTTAATATTTTTTATTTAATACTCCTTACAATAGTGCAAACTCTGTTCTTATGATATGCCCACAACTGGTCATTTAGTAGTACGGATTCAGGGAGAATATTACTTATAAACTAAACAAGCAACCCCCAGCCACCCAGTAAATGAGCACTCTCCAGGCCACAGAAAATCAAGACGGCAACATCTGGGAATAGTTTCTGGGTGCTCCCAGGAAATGGATGTTCCAGACTCTCAATACAGAGCTGATCCCACCTTAAATTTCTTTATCTGGAGCCCCCTTTCTCCATCTTCAACTCCCTGCCCAAACGTTATGCCCTGAAGGGGCTGAAGAATCAAACGCAGGAAAGGCAAGTTTGTAAAGGTGGTGTTTTAAGACCACTCAAGGAACAGAGCTGCAAGGCTGGCATGTGCCTGAGGAAATTATGGTGGATACCAAAGCATCATCTGTGACTAGCACCAATTGGCTACACCATTCTCCTTCTTCCAAAGGGACCCCAGCAATAGGAAGATACACTGAGCACTACTGATGGCAGCCTGTTGGCTCTGGATTTCCGAGTGGAAATAGAGATTAAGGGGCAGCATTTCAGGAGCAGAAGAAAACCTGACCATTCTTACAGGAAGTCTCTCACTTTGCAGACTTCAGGAGCAATGCCCCTGGAACGGTTGCACTGAAAGGTTCAAACCTTCTGATCTACAATGAAGGCAAATGAATCCAAAAAAAGCATCCACAAGAACTGTCTTTCTAAAACCCCGTGCACAGACCAGCCTGCAGGTACTGCAGCCGGCTAGCAACAGACTCAGACAGGCGAGGGACAGTGCAGGCCCCAGGCTGGCAGATTTCTCTTGCAAGGCACATACGCACAGATTTCCTGACTGTCAGAGCCAACTTTCTGCAGACATTTAATTTAAAACCCAAAGTAACTTAATACAAAAACCTCTTTGCAAAATAAAAGGAAGAGGAGACACAAGATAGTCCTCTAGCTAAAAGGGGCTGTTAAGTTGCATTTTGTATCATGTGGGAACAATTAGCGAACACGAGCTCCTATTTTCCTGAGCTAAACACAGAGCTCTTCCATTTTAAAAGATCCCCAAGGCTTTCCCTGCCTTTGCTTTTGCTTACCAATCTGAGCAAAGTTACTAACATCCTTATAGACCAGCCTGTACTCCGTAACACCTAGTATCTATTCCTGATTCTCAGAGACCTGTTTAAACAGTGTCGCATCAGACCCTCCCAGAATGGTCACTATTAACACTTGGTTCAAAGTCAAGAATAGACAGCCAAGGTCAACTGCCTTGCTGATTTACATCTATCCTTCTCATCCGGGACTGGGCCAGTGGGAGATCTGAATGCCGTTCCCAAGGCCACCGTTCCAAGACAGGAGTTATCAGGACTACAGTTACAACCAGCAGCAGCCACGACACATGCAGTGAACAGTATGATCGTTGGGAAGTCGAGTATACTGATGGCTCTAGGATAAGCTACACTGCAGCACTGCAACGTACACCGGGACTGTTGGCGGTACACCGTGTACTCTGACAGCACAGCCAGTGCTCCTGCTTTACCATGCCGCTGATTCCCCAAAGGAGCTGCCCAGAAAGGATACCACCATTGGATGTCTGCAGCCTGTCTAACACTTTTAATGGAGAGAGGGGACCAGCTATTGGAAAATGTCCCAATTTTATAATGTTCTGAAAGTGTCTAATTTCTACTTCACGCTTTTCACTGGCATCAAGAAGCTTTCCGCTATTGAAAAAAAAACCTTGCAATTGTCAACTGTTCTGGCAAAGCTA